TTTCCTTTAGTTTACATGTTGAACGTTAATCTTGACTATTATTTCTATTCCGAAAACTTTTTTGTTTTTACCTATTAATTGTAAAAGGCTAACATCGCGTTGCGATCCTGAGAAGAAAATAGTTGTGATATACATAGCTAAGAGTATAACGTGTCCAGCGTAAAAAGTGGCAAAAGATGGTATATAATATGTAGTATAATATGCACTAACACCGAATACTAAATTATGTAATGAATATTAAATATTTCGATATTAAAAATGAGTTTCTAGACCGTTCACTTTAATTTCCCTTTATTTGCACACTACAACTTAGATTATTTTTAGTTTTTATGTATATTTACCTATATTTTATGTATATTTCCGACTCAAAACAAACATTTGTATGCTTGAAAAGGACTATCAATTTTGGTCTGGGTGTTTCTATGTAAATATAATAGGTACATTAAAATAGTATAACTGTGTCAGCAAGCATGCTTTTTTTCTACCAATGAGTAGAGTTGTCCGAGGGCTGCGAAATTCCAGCCCACGATATGAACGAATAAAAAATATAAAAGTATATTTATAGGCACTGTAAAGTATGTGGATACAATGCCTGCAATTTAAGAAACAGGAAAAAAAATTTCGATACATATTTTCACGCTAACTATCAGTAACAAGTTTTTGGTAATGGTCCAAGATAATAATAACTTTGTTTAACGTTTGGCTAGGCGTAAAACACTACTATTAGTTTTCAACAAGGCTCAGTAAATCTAAATATACCTAAGCATTCTTAAAATCTGGTCAAATGCGTTGGTGTAAATGAAAGAAATAAAAATTTTAAGTTTGTGTAATGTCGGTCGATGGGTACCTACTTTTAGAAGTGTTAAACTCTCTAATACTTTAAATTAATTTATTGTTTTTTAAATTGTTGCCATTTGTTTCAGTTCCCTATCTTTGTTGTAATCTTGTCTGTACTCCAAACACCACCTCCCCTTTCATGAACCTCCTCGCCAGCAGAAGAGCTTTTCTGTCAAAGTCTGTTGTGTCTATTAAGCCGTTGATGTTAATACAATCTACAAGTTTTTTTTTTTTCATTTTGGTACCATTCTAATAACCTATTTGCAAAGATAAAAGCGCCTTTTATAGTCACAAAAGAGATAGTTAATGAAATGAGCTCTAAAAATTTCTTCGATATTTTGATTCATGTTATAATTCTTGTAAACTACATACGAGTATTATGTTTGAAAACACTAACGCACATGTGAGATATACCGATATACATATGTAGGTCATATTGGAATGTTTGTGCTATTATTAACACACTGATCCTGTTGTTAAAAGTTGGAAATTACGATAGATCTGTATCTAGTTATATTTAAACATCTATGTAGAATAACGTACTTTGGATTACGGACGGATACCCAAATACATAAAATACGTTTTTATAATCCAATACAATACATTAGTTCTACAAAGGTTCTTAACAAAACAACGTTTCAATAAGTAATGGGTAAGTGTATATATCGCCTATCCCTACTAAGAATGTAGAATCTGCAAATCAGCAATTTTACAGGAGAGCGCGTAAATACTTTAAACCGAACCTAAATACTTTAAGAGGTTGTAGTTGCCATCCTTTCTGATAGATTTCATTATGAAATACCATATCCCAAAACTTACAATTTTCAAGATAATGGACTATTAAGATTTTTATAAAAATTGCCGAAATTTTGCCTAATAATTTTTTTTTAGTTAATATTTATATATTTATACTTTCTTTATTTAAAAGACAACTGCCGCTCTAGGAATATAACTTTACAAACATTTACAACGGACACGATACGAACGGACGGATAGTATAACATATAGTATATATGTATGTATGTGTATATAGTATAACATTCTCACTATGTTATTCATAGTATAACATAGTGAGAATAGGCCAGTGAAACTAATAAAAGTGCGTTAAAAAGAATACTCTTGCGTCTGCTTATCAGGGCGCATATTTAGCGTTGCAAATTAGTTTAGCCTAAATTAATTAATGACTGCAAATGCATCTGTTTTATTTATTTTCTTAACGCTTTTGATCTCATTGACGTTTATAATATGTTTGTACTTATACGTCAACTATGTAATGGAATCTTTCAAAGTTATTTTACCAAAACGTTGAAAACATGTCTAGTCCTACAAATCGTATAAGTTCAATTTAACCTACTTGTAATTATCATATCGAAATCAAACTTTGTATGTACGAGGGGAGGTCCAAAAGTTCGTGAAATGGAGCGGATGGAGTGGGGCGGGGGATAGGGGCGCTCGCTTAGTGTCATACTAATGAGGGTCTTCGATACTTTTTCTGCCACCAGACGGCGCTTCGTATGCGTCAGGTCCCCAGATTCTTACCTAACGTATAATATTTTAGTGAAATTTTATGAATTTGGAAGTGTTATTGAGTTTATTATAGATTACGGCCAGAGAAAGGTTGCCAAACTGAAGATTGAGCTCAAAAAGAGAGGCGCAAAAGTTTTATTTACACACATAGGCACTGCACAACACTGGAATTTTAGAAATCAGTATTCCTTTTGTAACATTTTTAAGAATGAATAAACCAAAAAAATGATCGAAAAATACAAATCGTGTATGTGTTTTAACAGGTGGTTGGACCTGACGCTACAGTGCTGCCATCTCACGTAGAACATTTCAGAAAACCCTCATTGGGGTCTCATCATTAGTATATAAATAAGTTTCAGCACTATTGCTTCATTCGTTTACGAATATTCGAATCCTAAACAAGTCTATCCGGAAAAAAAAAGAAAATATGGTGAAAATTGAACACCGTGCTGAGTGTTTCCAAGCAAGGAAAGAATGCTCAGACCATTTTGAATGAAATGCAAACCGTTTATGGGGGACAGTGCCCTAGTAAATCAATGATATACAAGTGGCATGGTCTTTTAAAACATGGTCGGGCGTTGATTGAAGACGACCCCAGCTCAGGAAGGCCAGTTGAGGCCAACACATCAGACATCGTCGAAAAAGTAGAAAAAATTGTAGATACTGGAGGACACCCGTTTGAAGAAAAAACAGATTTCTGTATTAGTTATCAAAATTTTCATCCAAACTACTTGGATAATTGGCGCTCCACCACTGTGCGCTTTTCAAGACACTTTTTGCCTCGCATCACCAATCTGTTAAACAAGTTATCGGCTGCGGTATTTCCGGACCGATACGACCTTCAAACCTTCAAGGAAAGAGCGTACTCCTTCCTCAAAGGCTTGCAAAGGGCAAAAAAAAAGTTGGAGCATCAGATACCACCATTTTGCGAATCCTACATGTGGGTATGAAAAGACTCTTTTTCCTGAAAAGGGGTCCTTTACACTTACAGGCATTTATACATTGAAATTGTGTAAGTACTTTTGTAAAATGTAACATGTCTTCTTTTAATTTTAAATGTACTTATGTACTTATGCAAATATTATATATATATATATATATATATATATATATATATATATATATATTTGCAGGAAGTATACATAAATAAATAAATATACGCAACAAACATAATTTCAATATAACCTACCTAATATTATTAATATGCAAATTACAAAAGCACATACATAACAGCAATAAGACTATTTAATAAGCTCACGCTAGAAATAAAAGAAAATGATGGAAAAATGTTCAAGAACGCTCTAAAAAATTGTTAATCAAGAATGTGTCATATCTTTTGCAAAAGTATTTTCTCACAAAATAATTTGCATGATTGTTAAATTCATTGTAATCTTCCACTTTTATTTACAACTGCAATGCCCGATTGGGTAACTATTGAAACTTTACGTACTACAAAACATCTATATATGTAATTTGGTAACAACTGTCTAGGACACGCTAATAAAACCAGATAGTGGATAGTGGATATTGAAAACCGCTTTTACTTTTTGCTTTTACTCATTGCTTTAACACGTGTCTTTCATTTTAGTTAAACTGTAGTTAAATATACTTACTGCTCATCTCGAAATAAAAATATAGGTAGGTACATACGTATCGTTTAAACATTAAAACATAAGCATAAGTAGGTACGCTCTCAAATCCCATCGGTCGTATTTTTGGGGTTTGACACAGGTAACAACGCACTATTGATATTTTATTCATATTTAGTAATCTTCCATTGGAATACTACCGGTAGAATATCAAAATGGGTTGAAAATGGATATATTTACATTACTAGGTGCTCTGTTGTAGATCTGATTTGGACAGACCCTGACCGAAATTTCTTTAGGTTAGTTGTAGATACATTTAGTATACATAAACACGAAGCTATTTATACTTACACAGTCTAATATTAATCGTAACCGTGGGAGAGCCATGCTTAGTGCATATTGCCTGCCTAAACATCCGGAGTGTAACCACCGTCTCACAAAAAAGAAATTGTTAAGAATTCTGTCATAGCTGTTCACCAAATTAGTGAGGTTGGAAACCACCTCCTCTCGTTTTAGGGTTCACTTAGATACCTGGTTCCCCGGCTATTAGTACCCGAGACGGCGTGCGGTTTTAGTCGGTTCGAGTCCGACATGCCACCGATAGGTGGTATCCGAGGGGATTTCCGCACGGAAAAAAAAGGGTTCACTTAGAGTATTGACTTTAGTCGCAGTTGTCCATAGGCAGTGGTAGTCACTTACAATTGGGTAGCCCATCTGCTCGTTTGCCAGTACAAGATAGAAAAACTATGCTAATAAGTACAATTAAACTGTAGTTTTTTATGAGTTTCTATGCGCTATTCTAAGGGTCTAGAAATCATGAAGAAAGAGATATCTATACTTAGCATTAAATAGCCGGTTTGTATTTCTTGACGAAAGCTACAAACAGGCGGGCGTAACAACTCAAAGAAGCAAATTTATATCCAAATTTAACGCGATTGAAACTACATAATCAACGCGATCACTATGTTCTTGGTATCACTATAACAGTTTTGAGAAACTAAATTGATTTTTATATTTATTTCAGATGAACCCCGGTGAGATACCACGATGAGCCGAAGTAGCGGTGGCGGCGGCGGTGTCGCGGAGGCCAATGGCGAACTAAGAATATTGCTAGTGGTGACTGTGATCATCGGTCTCCTTCTCATGTTCTCCCTTTTAATGTGTTATGCGTGTGTCCTAAAGCGACTATGCTGCGGTACACCTAGAGAGCGAGCGAAGCATGTTGCTTGTGCTAGAAGAACTGAAAGCTATCCTATGGGTGACGTCACGTTACTCTCTCAACCCACGGAGAGTGAACGAGTTTAAAAGTTGAACAAAGTAAAAATTGAGTAGATATAAACATACAGCTGTTATCCTGTCGAAAAAACTATTAAACAGAAGTAACAAGAATAATCAAGTTGAATTTTAGACACATTGACTGATGTAGATAATGTTTTATAAAATACCTGAATCAACAGCATTATTTTGTATACACTCTAAAATCAAGACAAGGCAAATATTTCTACCTGTAGCTATTCCCGTGTAAAGGCTTGGATTGTTTGGTGAAGAATTGAAAATGTGTTCTCTAATAATCTGGTGACGTATATAAGAATTCATTGTTAAGATATTGATCTGGTCGCTATATTATGTTGTGTTCTATAATACATGTATAAAACTTTTTTGTCATACTTAAATGTATATTTACTTTAAGAAACCAAGGGTGTATCAAAAATTACGATAATTTATAAATTCATAAATGGATTAGAGATATACGTTGTATTTAATGTATTTTATTATAGTTTAGAGCTCCACTCACATTCAGTAAAAATCTATCCCTATGTAACAACAAGTTCTATTAATCAGAAAACGTACTACAATGTAAATAAGTTTATGAACATTTTCTGGGGTGAATGTTTTCAAACGTTTCTGTGCGTGCACACTATTAAAAAAAAAGAAGTGGCTTGTAAAAAGTACCTACATTCATAACGATCGTGGAAATTTGTTTGCCTAGACTTTGCAGAAGTTGTGGGAAATTGGATTCGATGTGAAATTTAATTTTTAATTACTTTTGACAACTACCTACCACTGATAATAATTACTCATATTTACACCTTACTCATTTTAGTTTTCGGAAAACTTTAACGAAATTTGTATAACTTTTGACCAATAGATGTCTTTACATGTATGAACCCAAATAAGGTATTACTTGGGGTATTATTTGAATAATCTAAGATATTACTAACGAATACATGTGGTAGGTACATTTTTCTCACGAAACAATAATGTCAAATGTTTATTTATTCTAGTAAAATATTTTAAATTCTTGAATCGTATAGTTTCGAAAAGTGCACATGTTTTTTTTTATTATGGGAAAACCCCCACGGGAGCAACGTTGAGTAGATATGTCGACATCAAACTGAGTAAAAACCACATATTCAGTAAAAACACACTTGAGGAGTGGAGAAAAGAAGAAAATCAACTTCGAAAGTTTTGGATTTGAATTCACCAGGAATGAGGTTAAATAATTCTATGTTGTATGAAAAGAAATCTCAATAAACCCTTTTAAAAAAAAAGTTGAACCGACTTCAAAAAACACCGACAAAGAGCACTAAAAATTAAAAAATAATTACAAATCTAAGTAAAAAACTATAATAAGTACCCTCAATGTAACAGGTAACATTACAATACCAATAGTCCCTTCTAGTCGGTTTGTACTCAACAAATATGCTCAATATTTTATAGAAGGAGTTCCAACTAGAAGGGTTAATACTGGTATGTTAGAAATTAACCTAGTTGACTCACACAAAATTTAAGAGTTTTTTCCAGAACTATTTTAATAAATTAAGTATAAAATTACTTACAAACGAAATGCGATGCCATCCATAGCAACAAAACGTCTATCCGAATTATTTTAACAAGATAAAATACAAAATTTCAACCTTTTCTTCTTATTAATACAACGAAAATTACTGTGGTGACATAAATACTGTAAGTTCTCTGCGCATCACATCGCGCAGTCTCTGACGGTTGCCATGGTTTTAAAGAAATACTCGTAGCTAAAACACGTTATCGGGGCTGTCAAATTCCCAATAATTGTGAGGGTTTCCCTCGATTTCTCTAGGATCCCATCATCAGATCCTGAATTGGTGGTAATGGGACCAATTCGGGAACATACCCTTTCGATTACAAAAATAATTTTGAAAATCAGTCCACAATTGACGGAGAAATCGCGTAACAAACATACATTAAAAAAAAATACAGACGAATTGAGAACCTCCTCTTTTGTGTTTTAGAAGTCGGTTAAAAAGAAAACATACTGTCGAATCAAAAACCCTCCTTTTTTGATGTTGGTTAAAAATCGACTAGCATGAAGCTCCTAGTCGAGACGAATCAAATGAGCACAAACACGGCGGAATTGCTTTATTTTATTACAGAGTTCCCATGGCTATTTACCGTCTCCATCATCAGACCCTGAATATCACATAGGATCGGAGTCCTTATTAATTAGACTCAAACACATTCAAATTCGATGGTATTACATAATTTTGTTACAGAGATCCCATACTCCTAAACCATTCATCATCAGCTTCATCATCAGCTCAGCAACATCAGATGGTGACCATTAGATGCAAAAATCTACATAGATTAAGATAATTTCTGATAAACAGTGTATATGCCTACAAAATTTGAGGGTTTCCCTCGATTTCCCCAGGATCCCATCATCAGATCCTGACCTGGTGACAATGGGACCACCTCTGACGTATGACCTACCAAATAAAAAAAGAATTATTCAAATCGGTTTATAATTGCCGGAGTAATCGCGTAACAAATATACAAAAAAAAAAAAAGAAAAAATACAGTCGAATTGAGAACCTCCTCCTTTTTTTGAAGTCGGTTAAAAATTATGAAAGCCAACAACTACACTTCCACACAACTAGCCAACCTCTTCCTATCAGAAGTACATATATATGCTGAAAATTAAAACAACACGATAACTTTGAACAAGCGAGACGACATTAAATCATAAATATCTGGAGCATATTATAAAGAAAAACCCGTGAAGCTGAAGAGCGCAATAAATTGTACTTATGTGATTCTTCCGTCCGTGTAGTGACGGATTAAGAATACGGAATTTCACTACCCCAATTCATCCCGTGGGTGTCGTAAGAGCCGACTAAGGGCGCAAAACAACGCAGGACACCAGCACTGCAAAAAGAAGGAAAACTTGACACAAATCCTATACCAACCCGTCTGGCCAGCGTGGTATAGTAGGCCAAAACCTCCTTTCTAAGGCCTATGTCCAGCAGTGGACTATTAAAGGCTGTTGATGTGATGTGATGATGATGATGTGATTCTTATAAATGACACATGCATTCATGTGCTGATGTTGTGCGACTATCAAAAAGTATTTCACTTGGAGCAAGGTAGATAATTGTAAATACTGGTGAACAAAACGGTTTCGTACTAAATGTTTGTCTTGTAAACATTTTAATGAGTTTATCTTCTGACTATCAAAACTACTTACATAATAACGATAATTTTACAAAAGGCTTTTTATTATTTTTAATAAATTTTAAATAATTTTTTTTAATAGTATTTGCATTTTTAACAGAAGATTTGATTTTTTTTTAATGTCTTGTTTAACTTTTTGCGCTTCCCCTACGTGTGTGACGTATGGAAAATGCAATATTAATGTGATAACGGTTGTCATGCAGAAAAGCGGCAGTGAAGCTGTTTGGTTTGATAATATTATAGGAGAAACACTGAGTGTGATTCTTAAATATCTTTCGGTACATGCTATCAACGAAGAACTATTGCATTCCCAAGATGCATTGGCGTCAGGCAAGGCGAAACGGTCATAAAAAAAAGCCAAAACATTTTCGTAATGAGGTTTCGGAGCCGACATACCACATTACCGTTTTGGCGGATGAGGTGACGAACTGTGGTTTCCACCAAACAGCCGAAACCTTGTTTGATAAAACCTACCTACGGTACGTGACTACCACACATCACTTCAGTATTTTAATTCTGAAAAAATATTCCTAAAAATTGTAGTATATCATTTAAATATACTTACATATTTAACTAAATCCTTTGTTCCTGTAGTGTTCTTTGTTCAACGTTTTATTTTCTAAAGTTCCTATAAAAACCCAGATCGACTAAATATATTTGTTTATTTCAAGTGTACGGCTATTATTGGCTAAAATTATACCTACCCAGAGCAAAGACACTGCACCTTTAGCCACGGATGATGACACCACGTGCTATCTTATCCCTCGATCGAAATCAATGGAGGTATAAATTGCCAGCCTTTGAGGCTACAGCCTTAATAATCAACAGAATCAAGATACAACACTAAACTATCACTAAATACTATTACGTGAGCTCAAGTCAGGTAAGAGATTATTTGACTGTGCTATTTTTATGACATTAAATCTCATCACAACTTTTTTATTAACATTTAACGTAAGTGGCAAACAAGCACATGGCCCTCATAATGGATATCAGTTACTCTTACAACTCTTCTAAAGGGCTGCTTTTCTTTTTTGAAGGACACCAACCTGCTTATTTTAAAGGATTTTAAAATAAGGTGGTTGATGGCCACATATGAATAGTGAATAATAAAAACAGTTAAGTGGAAACGACGAGAGGCGTTCACCAAACTAATACTAACTTATTAATCGAAAGTAATGTGACAACAACATCAGGAACCTGTATGAACTCAACGATAACTAAGGATTGAAAAGGTAGGTAAGAATAAAAGAAGAATTATACATTTACCGAAACATCATTTATATTAAATGAAGACAACTGTTAAAGGCACTTTATTACTTATAAATGTAACGGCATAGTATTTTATATAATCTTACTGTATCACAATATATCACGCCTTTCAAATATTATTTGTCCAGTTTTAATATACAAAAATGAATATTATATGTACTTACTTAGCTTGAATTAAAATAATGTATTGTTTCAAGCAAGAAATTGCATTGAATTGCCTTAACTTATACCCATTTATAAAAAATATTAACAATAAACAATAATATCTGCTTCACAAGATATTCAAAACATTCTATTCAACGATTACACAAAGATATATATATAGTACATTAACATAATATAGGTGCTGTGCACATCATTTAAACATAATAAGTCAATATTATATATTGTTTATGTTAATAGTATATAATATATATTGACTAATTATTGATTTAGAGACATTGAGCAGGAATTTTAATGGGTTACCTTGCGATTAATTTCATTACATGCTTATACTTCTGTTATACTCGTATATATATATATATATATATATATATATATATTTGTATGTATATTTATATATATATGTTTGTGGTTTTGTATATATTTCGAGATATGTTATGCGATTTTTAAACATGTAATGTGGCACCACAAACTACATATTACTGTGCAGTATGATCAATCTAAAGATTGCCTGTACCAGATCACCGATATAACCCATTGTACTACTGTACCTCTGTTTTCTACATTGTTTATTCCTTACCCATGGTCTGCAATAAGTATCTATCTATCTGTCTAAACTTATAAAATATTGTTCTACATAAGATACTATTGACCGGCATTCGTTCAGGAGCTCTCTGTTACTTTGTAATTCTTTACAAGGTTTTATTACAGCAGTTCATTGATGACACTTTATGATTCTCAAGGCATTAATAGACTTATATAGAAATATTAGTTCTAATGCTCCTGTACTTAATTTCCTATGCTCCACAGTTCATTGACTCACTTTTGAAACCATAAGATTTTAAATAAAAATATACAAAGACAACAGAAAGAAAAAAAAACCATAATAGAATATTCTAACCATAAAATTTTGGAAGTGTTTTTAAATTATTTGTTGTAATATAAATGGAACGGGTCAAGAATTTTGTTGCTGAAGCCATTAATAATAATTAATAACCTGAACAGAAAACAAAAGCAACACCAGATAACAAAGCAGAACAATTATAATATTTACATTTTAGTTAGTATTGAAAATTAACTTCAATTTAAGACAATCTAGTCCAATAGAAAAGTCTGTTGGTTATTGAGCTTTAATAAACTAATTTCATCTATAATCTTGCGTGGAGTGGTTTAACAGGACTTTCTTATTCATATTTGAATGAGGCCTTAACTCAACGACGCTTTGCTGTTTGATTTTTTATCTATTTCTATTACTTTTGGAGGACGAGCAATCGTCATAGATGGACTTTTACAATTTATGGTTTCCATGATTGGCCAGATCGATCGCCAGCTCGACCGGATCCGGTATTGGGCCATTGGGCCATCTCTAGATCACATTTTACCAAAACACTTATACATAAACCCGTATTTGGAACATTAACATTTTTTATCTAAATAAAATTAGTAAAACTCTATTTATTACGGGTCTTAGATACCCATCCTTCACCAAATTAATTATGATGTGCGCAACACTTTACAAGACTTTCAAAACACAAATTATTATCTATGGTGTGTAGTTCTGTTCCCTCAGTACACCGTGGACCATGGTTCTAAGTGACTGAGGTTTGCAGTACTCTTCGAGCCAGTTGAACACACCCGCTGAGAACTCTGCGAAGTTATTCGTGGGAACCGACTCAAATGACTCGAATAGTTTATCCATTATGCCCTGAAACTGTTAAAAAAATGGTTGTTACTATACAAGTAGAATAAGACCAAAAAAACACTAGGAGTATAACTTTTAAGTGGAAGCTGCAGGCATATAAAGTTAGTAAGTTCTGAACATGAGGCGGTCATGACGAACTGCAAGACTTATTAGTATGTCCAAGAATGAACAGATCTTGACCCTGGAATACGGTTGGTGATTGCTCATTGCTTATTTATTTAGTAGATCTAGTAGATTTGTTTTAAGAAACCTTTACACTTTGATTAGTGTAAGTGTTCAGAGAGCTAAGTGTGAGTTGATTTTACATCTACTCGATCGTCACGGTGTGTGCGTTCGTCGTTGCGATTGGCCCGCACTGAAATCTTCAATCTGAAATCTTCAATCGCGATGCCAAACAAGATTAGATTTGAAAAAACTCGCACTAGGGCCGCGTGTACGTGGTAAATAGTCCACGACAACGTAACAAATGTATTTACCAAGTCTAAACAGGAATAAGTAATAGAAAACAAAAGGTGATTTCAAAGAGTGTAAAAATCTCAGAATAATTCGTGTAGTTAATACCTAATGTAGTTGATTAATGAATTGCATTTTAAACTTTTATATTGTATGGTGTAATCGATGTTTTCTCTACTAGATCAGTAGTGGTTAATCGGACTTACGTTTCAATTGAATGTGACACTCTCACTGCATTAGTAGCCCGGAGAGAAAAGTTAAAGTTAAAACTTTATACAGTCTACTTATTATAGTCCCATAAAACTAATGGTATGAAATAGTATATACTATTTATGATATCATTAGCACAGTTGAAAGTTGAAAACATGCCAATCATCATATGCCGTGATAAACAACGATAAAGCGTCGACATGGACTTTGTTAGCTCATAAATAAGAAAACTTATTGATGACATTGCGACAGTACCAAATTATTAATGTGTTGCGGGAGACTTTGCGAACATTTAAATGATGTAATAATAATAACCTCACACATCTCATACACGGTTGACTTTAGTAACCAGACCACTGATAAACATACTTAAAAATTTCTAAGTACATATATATTATATGTAAATTACACCCAGACAGAACAAATAAGTGTGCTCATCACACAAATATTTGTTCTGGGACCACAACCTCCGGCTTAGCAGTCAGGGTCCGTAACCACTAGATCAATAGGTTCGTCCATTGCCGTCCGTACAACAATGAATTTTAACAATTATGTTTGTAAGTATGTAGAGCAACGGGCAGGCAGCCCGGACCACATATACATCCTGTCGAGGTACACCATGCACTTTCTCATTAGCATTGTGATAGCGTACTCGATGCACAAAATGATTATGTACTTGAAGACTTAAGGAATACTTACAACTTGAAACTTATCCTGATCCGTAAGCCTCTGTTCGTTATGGCCCGGTACTGAGTGCTGCGCTTTGACGATCTGTTCATAGTTTGCCTGCATGATACGAAGTGCGACCACGTCTTTACGAAGTGCATTACGTTCTTCCTCTTGGCGTCTGCGTTGTTGAAGTAAGTACTGGATATAGTCTATTGATTTTTGAAGAACCTGCAACAGTAGATGACGAAAACTAATAATTAGTATAATAGTAAAATAATTATAATTAAATAATTTTAAATCACAGTAATCGCTCGTACGTTCTTTCTTCAGTTATTTTGAATGAATCTACATAAAAATGAAAAACAGTATGCAAGTACCGACTTCGTACCTATAAATTTGCAACATGGTGACGATCTAATTAAACACAGCGTTGTCGCTTGTTCAAGTACAGTTTTACGATTCAAACAAAGTATTTTGAATAGGCAAGACTGACATTGCTCTTTAGAACATACACATCAAATAAGACGAAGAAGATTAGAAAGTGTATGGTGTCAACAGATACTTTTGTTTCTAGCCTCAATTAATACTTAAAAAATATTTTTTATTTATTCTCTTTGTACAAACAAATGTAGCAATAGGTGGAGTTAATGCCGTAAACATTTTCTAACAGTCGACCTTAGAGCGATGCATAACTCTTATTGTTCTTTAACAATATTTTTTAACTTTATGCTCTCCTCCAATTTGTCCAATTATAATTCAGTACGTAATAATACATAATAATGTGCAGATTCTATTTTAACTAAGTTCCCATATCAGTTCTAGATAAGAAGTATTGCGAATTTATTTATATTAACCACAAATATAACGTTCGCTATAAATAAAATGACGAGCGACGTTTAGATCAACTAGCACATTGATGTTGAATGCAATTTACTGATAAATGGTGTCAATATCCTATAACTTTTATATCTGTAACGATTGTAGTACTTGAGACAAACAGCTGAAATCTAGGGATATATTGTATTTTATGAAAGTAGAACTTAGAACGTGTACCTATCTGTATATTTTACTAAGATTATAAAGCTGAAGTATTTGTTTGTTTGTTCCGTTGAACGACTAGATCAAATTAAAAATAAAATAGTTTTGAATAGTCCATTTATCGAGGAAGACTTTAGGCTATATAACATTTAGCAACAACAACAACACGCTACGACCAATAGATGCGGAGCATCGATGAAAAATATTAAAAAAACTGGATAAAGTTATCCCTTTTGAGAGACGTAGACGACGATGCGCACGTCTAGTATAATATAAACAATAGTAATAGAGACATGGATTACCATTTTTTTTGTTTTGTTTATTTACAGAATCGGAAAGAATTTAAAATATATACATATATATACAGGATTAATGGGTAAATCGACCTAGATACTTCAAGGGCAACCCCTTGAAGTATCTAGGTCGATTTACCCATTCGTTGCCATTATTTCTAAAAGATTTTACTATGAAAGATCATATCTGAACCCTAACCTCCCGCGCAGAAGGATGCGTCACATCATCATCAGGATGTTAAACATCTGTCACTACCGGCCATGGAGCGTATGATGACTGTGATGATTACCCAGCGCTGCGACGCCCATGCCGGGCAAATTGCCGCGTATTGCTCTTACCGCCAATATCCTATGAGGGCGCCAGAGGCGTGACCTATTCCTGGCGGTCAGAGCCGTCGCACCGGTGCATCGTAAAGTGCAATTGACCGGACTTTTGTCGCAAAGGTATACCCAAATTGGATAAAAGACACCCAAGAGCAGAGGCAGCGCCGACCGGCTTTGGAGCAAACTGTCTGAAGTGCTCGTCGAAGAATCGCCTCCCTATCAGACCCAGATATTTTATTTGAGCCTGAACCAGTACGAGGACCGAGTTGACCACAATTGAGGCACTGGGGGGGTGGACCAGGCCGGGGCCCATGGACTAAGGGGGCCTTCGTCTTATCCAGGACCACCCGTAAGCCCTGTGCCTCAATGCGCCCGACTACCAGAGAGAATCCCCTGGTGGCCAGAAGCGTCGCCTCTTCAAATATGCCCCCCGGGCTGTGACTAGAGTGTCATCAGCGTAACAGTTTACGCCTAAAGAGACATATAAGGGCTCAGTCGTACCCTATGTTCACAGTTGTCCGAGTACAGATCCCTGCGGAACACCGCACGATAGCCGACGACACAAAACATTATTTCGAAAACCAAATTGGGCGTCCAATTCTCGAGATCAGGCCTCTGCGAGGTAGGCCCTGATCTCGGGAAGGAGTGCTGAGTATATATATAGTTAAGCATATATATAATCTGCTGGAAGAGCAGGACCAGCTTCCTGCTCTATCAGCACTCAGGGAAACGTCCGGAAACCAAACTAGCCTCGAATACCTCCCTGAGGCGGTCTGCCGTGTAGTCAAGGGTTAGGGTCAGTACTCGGGCCGGTATCCCTTCTGACCCGGGGGCGGTCTTTTTCATCTTCAGCTGCCCCCACTGCCGAATCTCGTTCGGGCGGAACGTCATCCACGCTCTCCCAATCTGTGTTCCGCCCATTGCGGGAAGAGGCCCTCAACCTGCAGGACGCTGGGCTGGAGAGTCTCCGTAAGGCAGGGGGACCCGACGCGCGGAGCTTTGGTCCCGCCGTACGATAAGGGCGATCCCAGGAGTCATGATCGAGACAATCCAACATCTCCTTTCTTTTCTGTTCTTTGGCGCGGCTAATGGCCAGCTTCAAAGTTTGCCGCGATTCTTGGTACTCCTCATGAAACTGGTATCAGAAATTATGACTTAAAGTATCTAGGTTGACTTACCCAGTAACCCTGTATATGTACTCATATATTGGTACGATACGAAAATCGTAAAAATAATGTTTAATAAAATAAAAAAAACTATTATCTAAAGTTGGTGTGGAGCGTAATGAAAATTTTCCTTAATATGGTATTGTAGAAGTAACATTACATAAACAGCCATATTACCAAGCTCGGTACTATTAATATCGTGAATCGATTGCGCCAAGGTCAGTATAGCAAATTTGTGATAACTGATAACCTTTATCATGACAAACATTAATGATAATACTTACGGCTGCTTTACTAGGCTTATATCCAGATGCATCTGTTTGTTGGCAGGTGGGGACCAACTCCTGGAGCGAATCGTAGCCCTTTTTTATTGCATCTCTTCTCTTCTGTTCTGCCTTTAATAAAAAAATAAAGAGAATATTTATAAGGCACATAAACTCGACGAAAAAAGCATTTATAGTAGAGGAGCAATAAAAGGGATTGCGAGATTTACTCCGTGTCAGATTAACATTATTTTAGATTAATACCTTACACCCAGATGAGTACCTCCACCATACATGAGCCCTACATATAGGGCCGAGCGTCTAGGGCGGCCCATCAAATTATTAAAAAAATAATTGATGGTCAGAAAAAAATTGCGTGTAAGATTAAGGTAAGTTGGATTTATTACATGCCGAAGTGTGTATTTAAGAAATCTGACGTTTTGACATGAGTCAGTGGGAGAGTCATGAAGTTCCAAAAAAGGCACATGACCTTGACATTCTTGAGCGCGAACATATTTTTTTTATTTTGAAGCAACAATGCAAGAAATCTTATTTAAATGTCTACATAATTTGTCGCGCCTTTATTTGTCACATTTTGTTATTGAATAGAAAATCAAAAACTTAAAATATTTCTAACCGTCAGATTTATAATACCCTGCAAAATTATCTTCAGATTTTTGGCTAGCATGACAGAAACATCAAGCTCAACCGTCTGTCTAAAATCTAACACGCTCGGGTATTTCAAAAATAGCGATTTTTCGAATTTGCAGTTGGCATTTTCGTAAATTCGTTACGAGTCCCTTTAAAATCGTCAGACCTTCATTGGGAGCATTTTTGGCTTCCAAATAACACATCACCAAAATATCTGATGCACCCGAATATGTTTTTTTCGATTTCCTCCCTTTACATTTTGGAAAACCTGTAGAAGCTTTTCCCACCGCGGAAAGTTATTAAGCTGTTATATAACTTTTATTCATTCTATTATCTGATCTTTCAAATGCAATAGGTCTCTATGACGCTCGAGTAAATCCCCATTTAGCATCATGGGCTCCCCTACTATTAAATATAGCAGAAATATAAACTTTCTGGGTTATACAGTTGCCTAACTATGGAGAAATAATAGAAATCATTTATTACAAATCAGACGTAAAATTATAAGCAGGGACTAATAAAAGTGGATTTCTAGTGGGCGGACATTAGATTAGATTACAGAATGTCAAACAATAAAAGTCATTTCACAGTGAATTTAATCTCATCTATATGTAAGTGCTTGTAGTAGCGTATTACTGATCATCAAGTAGCGTAAATTGCTATAATCAGATGACCAAAGGATTAGCTCGGTCAAGGTTACATAGACTACTAGAAGTAAACATACACCAAAATAATGTTTGAGAAAACATTGATGCATTGCAATCACCTCGACACAATGGAATGTGTAATGTAGGTTCTGCGAAGAAAGAGATATTAATAGACTGTACATTAAAGTATAGTTATTTTTGTTTGGAAGAGTCGGGTTAAGTTACTACTGCCGTCCATGGATACCTAAAATCCAAGAGTCACAAATTCTTTTGCATAACATGTGTGTATTTGTATGTATGACTGCCTCAGGGATGCAGTAGGTAGCGTATGCGACTGCTGTGCTGAGGTCCTGGGTTTGGTCGGACCAAATGTTTGTGTGATCAGCAAATATTTGCTTCGGCTTTTGGGTGTTTTCTATGTATAATATGTACATATTTAAAAAAAGAAAACTGGCTTTCATAGTACAGGCTCTCTTTAATTTGAAGCTAGATGACATTGTGTGTAAGATGGCAGAAATATTATTATAATATTATTTTTAACTTTAGGGAACAGAATGGAACCTTTAAATAACACAATAGTTTATTGTGCGGTGCATTGTTAGGTGAATCAGATTTCAAGAATTAAGTTTTCTGTCCAAATGAAGTTTGTAGTCTAACAGGATTCCTTTACTCCTTTGTTCCATCTTTATGACAATACTTATCCACATCCACAGTGCCTTAAAACTAAACAAGTTATGATTGGAAACAATTACTTACCATAATCACTAGACCTTGCTTTTTGACTAGATAGCTTTTTAGACTAGCTTTTTGCTAGACCTTGATTTTTTAAAATTCAAACCCTTAAAAGAGTTTGATTGATTCTCAACCCTTACAAAACCTCATAGTACAACCTTTTGTACTTGTTCCCTTTTATGTAAGCAAACTTGGAAGTGGCTCCAGTCTAACTCTATTCCCCTATTTATAAGAGAATACATTGCTGTAACAGGTACAGCAATGTTGAGTACATTATAATTACTTAACTTGATTGTAAAGATAAGCAGTTGAAATGACTTCACAAAACCAAAACTACTACATGTAATCTACTTAATGCAGTATTATCACAGTACTCAAGTTACAAATCCTCTATATTTATAAGAATGTTAAGTTAGTTTCTATATGCTCCAAAAAGTTTTGCACCAATTGAACTTACAATATTCATGGTTTTTATCTACTTTTCACAACAGTTTTGTTCTTCATTTCTCATCAATGCAACCACAATGTGACACATCAAAGCATGGCAGGCTACAACTAGTTTATAAGTAGTAGTTAAATAGTAACATTTTAAGAACCATTGTTGTACCTGTGTACTGTATATCTAAATAGATAGTGTCCATACTATTTACATACTTGGGTATGAGCCTCTCTCCTCCTTTCCTTAAAGCTGAGTGCGGACGCCTTGTTGTCTCCACTGTCATCTTCATCTTCTACAATATTAAACACACAGTGATAAAAATCAGCACATTTTAATACAAAATCAAATAACTAAGAATAAAAGCAATAAGGAGAAATGGGTGATATGCGAGTCAAGATACATGTGAATTAAATTTCTGTGTAATTTTTATATGGACAAAACTTGATCACTTGGACATCTTGACTTTAAATAGGTATATACACAAAAGTATGATGAAATGAAATTAATATATGTTCTTGAAGTTTTTTGCAATTGTAGGTCCAACAATAAAAATAAGGCAAATATCAAAGTACATACGACTAAATAAACTTTAAAATAACTGGCACTTGAAAGACCATAGCACCAATAACTTCGATAATAAACAATGAAGAAAAAACATACATTACCTGTGTTCTGGTTAGAAGATGAAGGTGTTTGATGTATGTTTTGAATAGATCCATTACTACCACATCGTTGATACATTTTTATATATTATAAAACTGATTCTAAACAAAAGTTATAAAGTAAATCTAAATTGTGTGCTGTTATCACTGTCACCTATGTTATGGTGTAAACTTAGACTAGGTTAGTAATCCAAACGAGTAAGGAGATGCCGACATGACTACACTATAAATATAATTTACATTTATAATAAACTAAGCAATTAACTAATTGAAAATAATTACGCATTAAATCATCTCGAATCAAATCATTTTATTATGTAAACGTCAAACGTCACTTCTAACTTTCCATCTTAACTTTTCGAGTAAGGAGTAACCATAAATTGACCATAGAATCATAAGTATAAAATATCATTCACTCATTCGAAGCAACCCAGTTAACCTTTGCTTAAAGGCAAATAAAATTGACATGTTAAAACTTTTTGTTGCGTCTTATAATGGTATCGCTTATATTAATTGAATAATACTAATAAGAAAATTTAAGAAATTTTATGTGCCCGTAACAAAATATATATACAGATTTTACCTTGGTAAAATAGGATTGAGAAAATGACCGACTATTCCTGTCCTAACAAGTCTTGTGTTTAATAAATAAAAACACATTGTGTACCTGTAAAGGATTTTAACAATAGTGTCAAAAATATTTAATTTAAAAAAAAAAGAGCTACAAGTTTAAGGAAGATAACATTTCGAGAGCCACATTCTATGAAGTTGGTTGTCTTTTAACAAAACCCAAAAGCAATTCGATTGGATTCAGTGGCAGTAACAAAGACTATATATATATATATATATATGTACTAATTATGAAGATAACTATATCATCTGTAATGTTATTCAGAGAAATTTATATGATCAAGCTTCTAACTTGGTTTCCCAAAAAAAATTAATAGGTACATTGCAAAACAACTTTTCTCTCACGACTATGAAGTATATATTATTATTCTTCCCGTTTTATCATGATTAAAAAAGTCTTATTAACGATAGACTGAAAATTAAAGGATTCAAAAATAAACTGCGCTTATCATGGTCGGTTTTTTAATCACTTGACATCAATGAAAAATAAAAAATGTCGACATATTTGTTACTTTTGCCGTCAAAATAAATTAATTCCATTGGTTTTACGCAATAGGCGAGTTATATTAATAACATGAAGAAAACGTGTATTCACGTTTGTTGGACATCGAAGTGGAAGGCAGAGGTATATTTACAGATTGCTTTTAGACAAGGTTACAACTATACATGGATGGCGTCTTTTCCTTTAATCTTATTAAATTTCAATTCGTGCTTTTCTACTATTTATTTAGATTTAGTTTATAATCAGTTTAATTTTATTAACCGAATTCCAAAATACAAAATAGGAGGTTATCAATTCGTCTGTTTTTTTTTTGGATGTTTGTTACACGATATCTCCTTTAATTGTGGACTACTTTCCAAAATTCTTTTTGTAATCGAAAGGGTATGCTCAGCAGGTGGTCCCATTATCACGAAATCAGGATCTGATGATGGTATCCTAGAGAAATCAAGGGAAACCCTCAAATTTTACAGGGGCGACAATGTGTTTTAACTTGTTTGTCTAGCTATGTAGGTATTTGCGTTTAGTAGTCGTTATACCATGTAGCTGAGCTGATGATGGAAGGGACCTTGACCTTTAGGAGTTAGAAAATAAACCTTTAAAAAGTCTAATTATGTATTGACCTTTCTTTCACATCATCACATCACATCAACAGCCTTTAATAGTCCACTGCTGGACATAAGCCTCTCCTTGGAAAGAAGGTTTTGCCCTACTATACCAAGCTGACCAGACGGGTTGGTATAGGGTTTGTGTCAAGTTTTCCTTCTCTCTGCAGTGCTGTGGTTCTGCGTAGTTTTTACCCTTAGTCGGCTCTTACGACACCCACGGGATAAATAGGGGTGGTGACACTCTGTATTCTTAATCCGTCACCACACGGACCTTTCTTTATTTCAAGATATTTGTTAGGTTTTTATGTTGGGTTACAGAGATATGTGCACAAAATATTTAGACAAAAAAAATGTTTGCTCCGCAATTATTGTCATGTTTGTTACCTCAAAACTCTTTCATTTGTAAACCGATTACGACAATCGCATGAGAGTTGAGCTGAACTCTGACAAGAGTGCGCTTTGTGTTGAAAAAGCTGAAAAAGTTACATATTTCGTTTTGGCTGTGTTTAATGTTAAGGTATATAGAGCCATTTTGATGCAAGATCAAATTCGAATTGTGCCTTGAGCGTCAGGTCTGACCATGTATCTCCGACAAAGTGTCATCTGCGTAGCACACGATCCTTTAAGAATTTTCAGCTTACAGAGTTCTTTTATAAAAACGAACAATAATGTAAGGCCTAAAATGCTATCTTGTGGTACCTGTGTAGTTCATCACTATAATGGCCATCAATTTTCACTATTCGCGAGCGATTTGTTAGATAACTCTCAAATGGCTATAGTTGTGCACCTCTGACACCCATCTGTTCAAGTTTGGATAAGAGTGTGACAACGGGAACCGTATCGAAAGTTTTCGTCAGGTCTAGGAATATGCTTAGAACCCTTTTTGTTTGTTGTGATTGATACTATGAACGATAAAGTTTGTTAGTTCATAAATAGCCTCAGAAGTTGATTTCTTCTAGCGAAAACCAAATTAGAATATACCGATCTACTAATCTTTTTTTTTATTAAGCGTTCGAAATTTTTTGATAACGCACTCAAAACTGCAATGGGACGGTAGTTGTTAGGTAGGGTCCCGTCACTACCTTTGAAGATAGGATGGATTATCGCCTTTCAAGAGCATTTGGAAAGACAGCTGTGTCACAACAAAGATTAAATATGTAGCTTAATATGGGTGCCAGAAGGTTAGAGTATCTCTTCAAAATATAAGATAGGAGGCATTTGTACGCAGTGAGTCTATCGTTTAAATTACCTCGGTAATGTTAGTATAGCTCAAAGCGAAGAACGAACATGGTGAAGGCTTTGCAATGCTAATATATGCTGTATACTACAAAACAAATTTAAATTTGACTTTGGTAATACATTTACTTAAAATCTAAGATTAAAACATTGTCAAAATCAGACTTGACTAGAAGAGCTTTATTTATTTCACGCAATTTAATGTTAAAAATTCGAATGTGAATGTGTATGTCAGTCTTCTATAGCCCAAACTACGCGACCGATTTCCATATTACTTCACACATCAATATCCAGAATAACATAGAGTAATGAGAAATATTCTCATTACTCTATGTTACTAAATATGGATTTAGCCATTTTCTTTTGAATATTCTGTTATATGTTCCTTGTTTGGCTGTAAATAATAAAAACTGCTTCTTGCTATAAATAAATATGCTCAAACACTGAAAACGTTCATTGAAAAAAAAACAGCTCACATAGCGTGGTCACTGTAAAATTGCAAAATTCGTGTCATGCAAAATGACGCGTTGTGTGCTCAATGTTAAAATAAGTTTGTGACCTTGACTTATTGACCTTTCTGATCATCTATGTATTTTTGTAAAGTAAACATTGAAAATCCACCCTGCTTTTACTGTGTACAAAGTCACATCCTAGTATCCTAGTGTTAGCCTAGCCTTAAAATTAACTGTTCATTCAACAAGTTTCATACACTCGTTCATTCACTCATTCATCACATCTTAGTCCGTTCCATCCATGATACAACCAGAACCAGCTACAAAAAAAAAAAGAACATTTTTGTGAAAGCGTATCGCATTTGTAACAACTGCGTCTAAATATCATTTTGTTCTTGAAGAAAATCACAATTTAATTAACAAAAGATGTGCATGAATTCTTCAGTGGGTGATTTATTTACAATTTAGTGATAGTTTCAAGTAGAAATTCGTGTAAAAAAGACTTAATTTCTCAAGCGATTAGGTACCGATCTAGTCATCCATGGCCACCATTTTAGAATTTACTTGGTGGTGCAGTAAAGTAATTTATTTTTGTTGTATGACAAATATACACAGTTTCTATTGAAAGTTTTAGTATTAACTTCTTCGGTTCTTTATCTTTATTTTGTAATAATTTAGGGATCATATTTAAAATAAAGAAATACTTTTTTTTGTACATTTACGCGAGTGGCTTCATAGACTAGTTTAGTTTTCAGAAATATCTAAGTGAAGAATAAAATTGTGGCAAAATGGTGTCGACAAGACAAATGAGTAGTGTTGGGGGCGGCAGTGGAAGTAGCGATGGTGCAGGTCCCTCTCACGCGGAGCCCGTGGCAGTATCTCGCGTCACTCGTCATTCAAGCGCTTTGATGCCGGGGGGTTCATCGCCTCACGCTAGTACTTCTAAATGTACTGCAATAATGCCTGCTCCGAAGACCTACACAACTAACCTACTTGACCTACCAGTTGAAGTAATAGAGAAGATTTTTAGCTATTTGGGATTTAGGAGTGTCTCACAACTTAGAATGGTGAGATACTTAATGATTTTATCGTCCTATGTGCTTCTCTGTTATTATTGAAATTTGCATGAATTGTAATTAAAGTAAAAATATTTTAGTTGCAATTGGTAGTATAAATTTGATTTTATTTGTAGTTATTATTAATAACTACAAATAAAATCAAATCAGTCAATCATTAGTTTATTTTATGTTGAAAATCTTGATGGTATGCTTAAATTTAAATATTTTACTGTGAATGTGAATACTATTTAACACCTTTATTGGTTTACATATAAGGAGACTTGAGAATTTTAGTTACTTGAAGTGTTGGTTAAGAATTTTCTTTATAATAATTTTAAACAGTCTTATTATAAAAAAAATGCTGAGACATCTATAGCTATCCTAAATTTAATACTACAATTAACCTCAAAAATACTTGCACTATACTTTTGTTTCGTTACTGTATTTGATAATCATTTACAGGTCAACCGACAGCTTAATTCAGTATGTAGTACTATACTTAATTCTACATTTCAACGGCTTCAAAATCAGATGTTGCATAGATTTCAATCAATCAAAGCGAAGATGCCTCGAAGAGAATCTGCTCGAAGAAGTCATCCGTTGGCATGTGAATCAGACATTATTGAAACGCTGCATATGAGATTAAGTTTGTTGCAGATGACCTTTGGAAAACATATAGAGAGGAAACACTGCTGTTTCTTCCCAGGAGAGGTGAGTCAAACAATGTTAATATTGTCATAAAATAAATGTTGACCATTGTTCATGTTTAAATGTAAGTGTAATATACACTTACCTTTAAAGAGTACATAAAACTTAGTGATTAACGTAAGTGGTAATCCATCGGCTTCCTATGTTTTTACTTTAAAACTGTGTTTGTAAAGGCTATATCTTTTTGCATGGGATTTTTATGTAGTTGCTATTTAAGTTCTACTTTTATTTTTATGGATAAAGATTAACACTCAATATGGAGCTCTAACAACCTCAAGGAAAGCAATATAACCCACTGGTAGTAATAATTTTAATGAACTATTCTTTAGAGACAAAGATAATATGTATATATATATATAAATGGAGAAAGTATAAGCATAGAAAGTGGCAATAAGCTGTCAACATTGTGTTTGAATTAGGAACAGCATCTGTATATTTTCAAGTTGACTAAATAGACATAATATGACAGTAACTGATGTCTAGCATTTGTGCAAGTGCTCATGTTACCATGTTGTTGTGGCATATTTTTTACTATTATAGTTAGGTGGTGTGTGTATAATTCTATAATAGAACTCATTTTGCTGTTATGATTAGTCCAATTGTTAAACTCAAAGACCAAAATCGCTCATTGAGTGTAAAAGCAGCTTACAATGCATTTAGATCACTGTAAAACACCCACATCGTAAATTCGTGTTGTGGTTCATTTGAAAATGCCCACGTTTATAACAGAACCGCACAGACTACATAGCGAAATGTCGTGTTATCATGTAATCACATGGTGGCCACCACCGTTGTGGCAATGTAGAAAAACCGTGACACATTCTGAACACTAGTGTAACCATATTACGACAGAGCTGACTTCAGGGCCGTCACACATATGCGCAAATCCATATCTATTTGAATATTATGTCAATTTCAAACATTTGATAAAATGCATCGTATACCACTCCGTGGTGTACCACTCAGTGGCCGCGCGCTGCCCACGAGTGACTTTTCTGGTTAACAACGCGGCGTCCACTCGTGAACCACCCGTCGACAACGAGTGGACGCCGAGTGACGAGGTGGTGCTGGTCTAGTCGGTGAAATGAGCTTATGACCTTTAATCGGCTCTTACGAAACCCGTGACACTCCGTATTCTTAATTCATCACTACAAGATCTATATAAATGTGTATGTATAATATATTAGACGTTAACTATGTCTTAAGTACTTTATAACCAGTCTTATAATATTTCTCTCCCGCGGCAGAGGTTTGACTTCGACCTCTGACTTTTCGAAGTATACGAATGAATAAATGATTGTATTATAAAGTTATTCACTTTAACGTCAATAAACATCCTTAAGGAAATTACTTTTTATGTCATACATAATATAAATTGACTGCTATGAAATATAGAATTTGCAGTAATCTTTTCTCTTTTAGTAAATATTTTTGTTAGTACTTGTGTTAGCTTCTTATTTACCTATTTTCATATATTTTTTGGCGTCATTAGAAGCAATTATGTATATTTCAAGCAAGAGCGAAGGTTCCTTAAAGTTTTCGGTTGGTTGCCGCCCTAGCGCGTGTCTGTCGGCTGTTTTGATTTACAGAGCACAACGGAGTGCTGTGTTAACTCGAATCTGCGATAATCCGAACGCTCATCATTGTTTACTTATGGTAGCAATAGTAATATTATAATAAATATTATAATCCGCATTAATATAAGGAGAAATAACTTACACCCTCTTGAGTACCTTTACTATACTTAAGCCCTACATATAGGGCCCAGAATCTAGGACAGCCGATAAGTAAAGCAAATTATTGAACCAAAATCGATAGTCGAAAATAATCGAGCGTGTAAGATTTAAGTTAAGGGGGGTTAATTACGTGCTGAAAAGTATATTTCAAAAATCTCACGATTTGAGCGTGACATAAGGGAGTGAGATGGTCACAAAGTTGAAAAAAAAACATGACCTGATGAAATAATGCAAGAAAAACGTAAAAAATATAAGATAATTGGAACATTTATTTTCATGTTTTTAAACGTCTACTTTCATATTTTCTCGTGGCTTTATTTGTCACATTTTGTATTTGAAAAACGCCACAAAAAATTATTTCTAACCTTCAGATTTAAAATACCCCACAAATATTCGTCAGATTTTTGGCTAGCGTGACTTTGGTACATCAAACTGAGCCGTCTGTTTAAAAATGTGACACGCTCGAGTATTTCAAAATAGCGTTTTTTTTTTACATTTTCGTAAATTCTCAAACAGTTTGTATCATTATCAAAACTTCAGTCTTTTTTGAATGGGAGTATTTTTAGAGTTCTGAATAATCGTTTTTTTTAAAGACAACTGCCGCACTCAGAATATATCCTGGTCGCGGGTGAACTCAGATCGACAATTTGTGGATCACGTCCCATGTGGGGATCGAACCCACAACAATCGGCTTAGTAGGAAGCAGCGTGGCGACTGCTTAAACTACTACGCCATATCTGGCCATATCTATCATATTTTTCTTACCGATTTTCTACCGTTCCTTAAATCCACCCCTACTGTACTGTTGTGTACTGTACAAGAGCAGGTACGTTAGCATACCTTTGCATTGTTATCAGAGGAACATTTTGACACCTAACCAAGAATATCTCTCACATTTTTGGGAAGTTCGAAACATTAGAATACTTTTATACATTCAATCATTTAATCTAATCTAAATCCAATACGTGCCCAGGACTCTCGAGTAAAACATCTTTTAGCATTATGGGCTCCCCTACTATAGATCGAGGAGAATTCTGTCATGGTTTGTTTGCTTTATTTTATAATATAAATATTGGGACAAGGATATTATTATTATAATAAAACGATAGGTATACCTACCAAATTTCTGTGGATGTACATATTTGTAAATCTTGCTGATCTGACTATGTAATGTAACTAAATAGTTTCATTGTTATGCTATGAGTAATGAATTCGAAACAAAATACTATTTTAATATATTAGCCTACGCACATAGATTCCATAATTTAATATAATTATATCTTTTCAAGTCTTCGAATTGGATTTCCGCCTGTTGTAGAAGCGTTATCTTGGGGTGAATGCAATAGCCAGCAAGGTTATGAAATATTAATTAAATACTTCTACCTAAACTAAGATCTGAACAATGCAGAGGGCACGAACGACTTCGCATTTGTTTAGTAATTTTCACATTTAAATGTTGATTCATTACAATTTTTGTTCGGCAGCTAAAATATCCGTGTATTGTAAACAACACCACTGAACCACATCACTGGGGTGTCGTTTACATTTTTTTTTGTAAACGTACAACTTATAATTTGAAAATATATTACGTTTTTTTTGAGGAAATTATTTATTTATTTTTCCAAATATGGCAATCTTTTTGATATCACCACTGATGAGCCACTGCCATTCCATCTGCTGTAAAGACACTGAGTTAGTGTAGACTACCGATATTTATACTGATGCTAATGGCCACTCGATGGCATCTCAATAGCGTGTCAGAGGTATGACAGTGGCTTGGCGTGAACATAAAATAGCAAAATTGCGCCCCAGTGGTGTGGTTGAATGGTGTCGTGTACAAAACACGAAAATATCGTTTCCCCAAAACGGTCAAAGCGTTCCGAAGAAAACTGTTTTCCTGAAGTTCCTCTAAATACCTTTACGTCTAACAAATTGTTTTATGTCCCTGTTTTATGTCTAACAAATTGTCTGGTGGGGTCTCCGCGGTTAGATCTCCGTTCTTTTCACATATACTATGGGTATTGGAATGTAGGTGAATGTGGATACCTCATTTACTTTGTAAACTTAAAGTACTCCCAACAAGTTGAAAGTATTTACACCAACTCTTAAACTAAATCTAGAAAGAAAGAGAGGTAGTTAATTAATAATATATAATTGTTTTAGATATTAGATGAGGTCTACAGTATTTTATCATATTTGAAAACAACAACAAAGCTCGCAAGACCGTACAAAGTAACTGATGAACTCTTTGATTTAACTACAATGGCCATGGAATACTTCAAAGAACACATTGAGCCTAACTTGCCAGAGATCACATATTTTGGAACAGATTTCTTTGACATCACTACAGCATTTTCACGTGAGTATATCTTTAATTAATAAAAAGAGTTACTATGTATAAAAAATAATAACTAGATTTTTAGTGGGACTAGGATTTTTTCTGTCAAAATTAGGAGTTTGTTTTATTGCTCATCACATGTTAGATCGATTTAAGACATAACTTGAGTTGTTCATCCATCAGTACCAAGTTGCATAAATGATGCAATTTACAATTATAAACCTCCTTTCTAAGGAGGCCTATGTCCAGCAGTGGACTATTAAAGGCTGTTGAATTATGACTAAGTTAGGTGAATAATATTTTGTCCTTAAAAATATGTGCTTTTGTGTTTTGGAATTCAGGTTAAGAACCTGGCTTCTGCAGCTCACTGAATGTCTCTTGTAGCTAGGTTGACTGAGGTAGATTAATTTTGTGGTGTATCAAATTGTTTTACAGATCTTGTAGAGGCATACCCTGATCAACATAATAATACTTTTCCACCCATTTTTCACACTCTTGCAATGACCCATTTGTCTTACAACATGAAATAAAATAATTACAGCGGGCGAGAGCAGTAAATCTTACATGTGCTTGGACTCCCCACCGCCGAGTGGCTTCGAATCCTCTTCGTCTCAGCAGGCGGGCGCTTGCAGCGTGTCGGATCGTCGCGTATCCTCGCTGAACATGTATATGGAAGAGAGCCTTCCACCGTCCCCACCACCACCGCAAAGCAACATGGTGCTAAGAAAACGGATACATCGTATCAAGCAGGGCATGAAGAAGTAAGATAGTCTTACACATCCTTTGAAATATTTTCTAGTCCTTTTTTTGCGTAGGGTAGTATAAAGGATCATTTACAGTTATGAGGAGTTTCAAATCAAAAAATAAATGGGATCTTAAAGTATTATGAGGATTCTGCAAACATCTTAAAGCGAAAGGTCATCCCGTACAATAATAATAATAACTTCACAATCTCACACACGGCAATCGGATCCCAAACTAGACACTGTGCTGTGGTAACCAAACTGCTCATAAGCAATCTTGAAAAATAAAATAAATATATACATTATGATACATTAAATGTGATTTGTCCTGGATGGGAGACGCACGACTTCCGCTTTAGCAATCAGGTTTCACTAACATGTAGACTAAGGTCGGCAAGTAATTTTTGAATGGGTCCAGATCCTGTCGAAATTTTTTATCGAGGTCCAGGAAAAAGAATTAATAATACTCACTAGTTAGTAATTGTTTCTCATTAGGGTCTAATTTTTTAAGAACTTTAAGATCATCATTAAGAAAATTTTAAATTTATAACTAATCAAATCACAACAGTCTTCCGTACTTACATGTAAAATAGGTACGAGAATGAGTATAAGCCAACTTGGAATCTCTAAGAGTTTAAATTGAAAAATTAGGTTTATTTATATTTGGTGGTCCAAGGATCGGCCGCCTGTTGCTGACGGCTGCACTAGACCAATAGGTCGTTCAATCCTTTGAATCATCATGAAAAAAATATTTTTTATATTCTCAAGCAAAACGCTGTGTTATGCGCCACCTGACGCTTACGAAATGATTATAACATGATATTAAGTGGCGTACTCTTTATATTTACGACCAGAATAGAAGAGAGAAATATTTCTGAAATCATAATTATTGTTTATTCTGCATTGATTTAGTCGGTCTCTGTCACTTAGCGTGCGACTAGCATTAGCTGGCCACTATTAGTCTGCGACAGACGTTTAAGACGCACGTAATACATCCGACCAGTAGTGACGCCCAAGTAGCACCCTTATCGGATATCGGTCTAATCCATTCCTTTTCACCAAATAATTCCCATAGATCACTGGTATGCGAGAGTAAAGATGAAAATTATTGAGGTCATTAATACTACACTAGTCGCTTGCAACGCATTCCTCGTATTAATGATATGTCCTTGAACCTATTCAGGTACAACGATCAACTGTCGGCGCTGCGCAGTGATCTTCGTAGTTGCAAACGCAAGACCGCTCTCCAGCAGAAGCAGATTGCCGAGCAACAAAAGCAGATCGCGGAGCAGCAAAAACAGACTCTGGAATATGCAAATCGCCTCGACGACTACGATAAAAAAAATGAGGAGACCAGTCGCAAGTTTCAAACCTTACTTCAGGTGATCGAGAAGTTTACTCGAATCGATCGCGTTATCCGTCGATCATCGTTTTCTCGTCATCACACTACAAATATTAACTTGCCAAAATTTGCCTTTCCAGGAGTTGAACAAGTGCAAGACGGAGCTGCAGTACTGGCGCTCGCGCTCGCCCGCCGTGCCCCCGCTCTGCGCCGAGTGCGGCGCCGCGCTGCGCCTGTCGCCCGCCGCCTCGCCCGCCTCGCCCGCCTCGCCCGCCTCCTCGCTCGCACAGGTACCAAAAAATTCTAAATTATTTGAAATCTTCTGTTCTGTCAATAGTTATAGCAAAATAAAGTCAGTCCATTATATTGTCTGTCGGTACAGGCATCTACGACCACCCGTCCTAGACCACACTAATCTTAGTCATAGTAATTTATTCATTAACAAATTACATCGTATTTGAAATATAATAATTAATAAAATAATAATAATTAAACAAAAAACATATACAAAAAAAATTGCGACTGTATTTGGTTTAAGATTAAAAATACATCTTTATGACATTTTTTTAAACAACTTCGATTAACTACCTATAGTTACTGTTAGTGGTTATAATCGTAATTCTTAGTGATAGCCATTGATTTTTCCTAGTATTTGTAGTAGCGACCGGTCAACCATTGTGACAGTCGATCGATCGGCAAGTCTAGCGATCTCGTTCGATGATCCCAAATTGTGTTCCAGTGGACCGCGGGCTCCAGCACGGAAGCCACCGAGGCGGAGCCGAGCGTCACCGAAGCCGAGGCGGTCGCCGCCGCGAGCACCGTGCCCGACACGCCGACCGATCTTTCGCGGCCCGAACCCAAACAGGACGGCAAAGCGAAGCCCGAAGCGAAAGCGGAGACCAAGGTCAAGGCCGAGCTCAAAGTAGAAACGAAAACTAAACTGGAGGTGAAACCGGAAGTGAAGTGTAAACCGGAACCGAAGACTGAAGTCGCGATGGATTGTACGACGTCGAGTCCGCCGTCCCGCCGCCGCGCGTCCGCGGACGCCAGCGGCGGCACGCCCGAGCGCAAGAAGCGCCGCCTCACGCGCCCGCGCAAGCTCTGAGCCGCCCCCACCTCGCCCGCTAGCCCACGCACTCTCCACTCTACTCACTCTCGCCCGCAACGACGGACCAGTAGGTTATCCAGCCATTAGTAATCGGCTTTTCAGTCGTTTTCCAGTCAGGATTATTGGTTGAGCGCCTGAAGAGTAGTTAAGTTATCTCGAATCTTTGAGGAATTGATCGTCGATATTATTATTAGATCGGTGGTGGATTTTGTAACGGTCAGAGAAGACCCTCATCATTATCGTATTATATATATCTGTCATATGCTGGTGTTAGTTACAGACCTACAGGTTATGTGCTATATTTAAACGTTTCGTTTTCTAGTTAGGAGTTTGTTCCATAACTATCGTTCAAGATCATGAAGCCCTTTCGGGCTCAAACGAGTATTCTTTATTTTCAAATAGCATCCATTTTATTTTATGTTCTATATATATATATATATATCTAGTGGTAGACGCGGTTATTTGGGGTCCATAATATCGCTACATGAACTGAATAGGTTCGCCTATTCTTTACGGCTTTTCGCTTTACGGGGTTTACACACAGGCGCGACTGTTGTATGCATGCAGTCGCATTTGTGTTCGATTCCATAAATAATTGGATCGGTTGACGAGTTGTATTAAATAGAGTTAGTGTTGAATGTTACATTTGGAGCGGGGTCTCCCAGTAAACCCGCTTTTGACGCGGGCGTAGACCGGAGCATTGTTAAGTTAATAATAAAACTTTTATGTACGTATGACGATCCGCAGCCACTAAACACAGGAGTCTATTGTAACATATTTTTCAATCGCTAGTAGAAAGTATCAAATGAAATTTTGTAGTTACTGAGTAGTGGAGTAATATTTAAAATTGGTAAATTTTGCGGGATATGAAAATACATGCTGTGCACATAAAAACATTTTAGTTATTGATTATTAGTTGATTTGCGTCGGTTTTGCAATTAGGCAAACAAGAATACTCCAATAAGACAAAATATTATGAATCAAATGAATATTTTTGTTTAATCATTTGCACTATTAAGTTATAGAAAGAGTTTTCACAATAAGATATATGTAATAGTTTTGATTGATATACAACGACTGCTGGGTTAACATTGATGGTAGGCTTCTCGTAAACAAATTAAAGAATATAATGGATCATATTGAAATCAGTAATAATAGTTGCAAGAAATACATCCTAAAAAAAGTATTCTAGAAAGTAAGTGAACACAGTAGTTATCCCTGTAGATTGCAATAGTGCCTATTGAATAAAGAGCAACAGATATTTTTTACTTCCGTAACTACAGATTTTAGAGGATTGCCAAATAATAGAAGCTGACTGAATGTGATCAAAGTTACCTCTGTGTAAATCCATTAAAAAAATGGCGCTGCCCACAGAACCATCAACTACTATTATCACCTAATCACTTAATTTGCCATATCACCATGTGATACAGTTGCCATTTGCCTTGCAGTTTTTTACAATACACCTTTCTTTGGCAGGTTTTCTATGCAAATACATCAAGCTTTGTATGATCTATATAATCCATTTTGTTTTTGGTTTGTTTATGATCAGCCAAGATATTGTACAGGGCAGTATTCATATACCAAATGGCTATATAGATTTCTTTATGATCAGCTATGATATAGATACATATAATAAATTATAAAACAATGTCATATAGTACAGGTCAATGCTATACTTATGGTGACTTTAAGGTGAAGAAAGGAACTTTTGTGTAATTTTATTTGAATATCTTTGTATTTCTGTATCCAAATGATGTATTGTAGTACCACTAGAAAAATACATCAAGTAAGTTCTTCTTTTTCCGCCTACGATCTCAAATCGAAAGTAAATGAGAACAAATCGTAAAAATTCCTGACTTCGTCTCAAAGGTATCATTTTATTATATTATGTTTAAATTATGTTCGAATAAATTGCGTTAATTCCAAATAGCAATCACAACATTATACAAAACACACAAGTAAATGATGTGAGCTAGTTTGAAGTGTAGTTAATTTTAGTTTTTAGGTTTTACAGCCCTCATAATTTTAATTAAGTGTTATAGGTTTTAAAGATTGTGAATAGCGGTGAAGGTTGAAATGTTGTGTTTATTTGTAAATATTCTAAAGTAAAAAATCACATGTGTAATGTACAAATGATTATATTTATGATTGTATAAATATACAACAGTGTAAATGAAATATTTTGTGACATGGTGTATAGGTAGGTGAATATTAGTGGCATAAAGCTATTTTCCATACATTGTGTTTTACGAATTGTGCTCATAGGGCTTCACACAGTTCTTGCATCATGTCACTCACAATTTACAAACATATCAACCAAATTCATCGAGTCATCATTGTTCAGGTTACCCAAACTATAGGCACTTAGTTTATTATTATATACATATATATATATTTTATATTAGATACGCACAAATTATTATATCAACATCCACATTCGGAAAATTAAGTAGACAGATTTGATTATATTATTTGTGAGTCATTCACCTTTAATCTTATTTGTGATTTTATGACTTTGTACATAATATACTTAGTGCATATACTATATAAATATTTTCTAAAAATGTTATACATGAGTACAAATACTTTTTCGTTGTAACGCCATTGGGACTTCTCTGTCATATTTACAATAATAGAAATGTTTTTATAACACTTACGCTATTACGAACAATACGAAACTGTACAGAGTATTGGTGTAAGAATAATGTCGAGCATATATATGGAGGTGATAGCATTGTAATGCTATACCTGTTTGGACAATAAAAATTGTTAAGTTACCAATTCTCTGCAAGGTCGCACACTGAACACGCATTAGATAATCTCTTTGTGAAGCATTTATATACACGATGACGAGCGTTGTCGGCTACCTACCGACTCATTGTTGATATCGCATTATTTTGACGAGCCAAACTGCATTGAATCTCCCTGCTCAACACAAAACTATGGATAAGAATGCGTGTTCAAAGTATGGCGATACTGCTTTCGCTCGAAATCTCTGCAATTTTATATTTCTGTAAATAGTTACGATTGTACATACTATGTATGCTGTGTGTAGAACTGTAGATTGTTTCACATTCTTAGAGGTGTAATACAAGTTTATAGAATAAAACAGAAAGTACACAGATTATTTTTAATATAATAATTCTAATTTGAGAAGAAATCAGGTGTATGTGATGTATGGGTGGGTAGAATGCATGTAGATTGTCATGGCCTAGTGTCCTCGGGTCCCTGTTGTAGAGGACATTTCTCGAAGTCTGGGCGGTGAAACTGTGTACATTTAAATGTATGATTATTTCTTCTATGTATATTGTCACTGGTTATGACTTATGACATTTCAACGACCTAATAAACGAAGAATATATATAAAATGAAGCCTATCATTGTCGGGAACTCTAGTATACATATAACGATTGGTTTTTTTATAATTTATTTTTAAATATTAATTTTCTATTAAAGGTGAATGTTACAAATGAGTTAATTATCATTTAGCCAATTTATTATAGTACACTGTGTACATAATAACTTACTTAGGTTTAAGTAGTCCACTTGAAATCACGATGTGCATGTAATAGCGACAGGCGATTTATGAATGGTGTAATGACCGTGGAACTTATTCAAATGCCATGAAACAATTGATTTAAATGTATTTTATGCCTATTTAACTTTTATTATGTATATTTCGTGTCATGTTTATCATTTAAAAGTTTTCCTGGAACTATTCCACCATGCTTAAGTGAGAGTATGAAAAGTTTCTGAACTGTATGTATTAAAAATGATAACAAATGTATAACATATTATAATGTACCAATGTGGTAAACGAGATCTATATGTTGTAGAGCTTAATGAATTTAAATTTTAGAATGTTACTTTAGATGAGAATACGATTCGAAGAGAATGTGATTGTGCCTAAATCAGTTAAGTACTTAATGCCATTGTGGAAATTTGTTAAAATTAATGTGAGGGCCGAGAAAGATCTAGTATGATATATTTAACTTCAATTGACACAGGATCCATTATCTTGAAATGTATATTTTATTTGTAATAACTTGTTCTGAACAGTTTCTTTCAATCTTACATAAATGATACGCAAATGAGAGATTTCCCTTAACTACCTTGTAACATTCGTGACTACTCTGCTGGATTTTCAGAGAAAGAACAAATCCATTAACGATATGAACACAGTTCTATACCTGTTGATATGAATGCTATACTATAATGATTATGTAAATCCTTTCACTGTTTCTTATCTTCTTCATCTAATAGTGCAATATGTGAATTTACCCATTCAGTGGTGTTAGTTTGGCGAAATGTGTAGTTTTTATTCCTCAAAACTAGATGCGATAGGGCTGTAAATTAAGGTTTTAAAATAATTTTTTTTGAGAAAAAAAAATCCTGTCAAGTGCACTAAATGCATTACGGGAGGTTTATGTTGTGCTCTGGCGAATGTGTACAACCAGCAAGACTGTCAATTGCTGTAGATATTCTCTTTATAATAGTTATATAATAAAGTATTTTTATTAGACAAAAATACAATAAATGTGTGAAGTCCAAATTACATCGTTTTCTTCATTATATCCCTTTGTTATTTTGGTATTGTGATATCTTCTATGGAAAACTATTAAATTCGGCCACATACCGATGCCGCGTAACCAGGTCTACGAGGGAGCGTTTTTATGTTCGCGAAATGGGGGATAAGGGGTGGAAATAAAAAAACCAAATTATTTTTCCTTTTCAATATATTCACCTGCAAGACGGATACATTTTTCAGATCTTTCAATTAATTTGTTTATACCCTCATAAAAAAATGTTTTCTCTTTGTCTTCAAAATACCGAAACTGCCTCCTTGACTTCATCATCGTTGGTAAATTTTTTAGCCCGCAGCTCTTTTTTCCTTTTTGGAAACAGGTAATAATCGCTTCGGGCCAGGTCTGGGCTGTAGGGTGGGTGATTCAAAATATCGAAGCCCACCTTATGCAGGGCAGCCAACGCAACGC